AATTTTAAAAATCTTGAAAAGGAGAGCGCATTAGCGTAGGCGTATAGTAAAGATATCATATAGTTTTTAGCGAGCGTATAAAACGGCGATGGTAGACCGGCTTTTCGGAAATGCATGGCTTAATAAAGTTTGATATTCATGGCTAAAACAATATTTAACAGGACTGCTTTTGCTAAATAATTTCTGTTTTAGCAAAACGCATAGTGTAAGTGATCAGCAATTATATGCTCAACAAAAGTTCTTCGTATTATTACACAGTGTGTTCAACAAAGGTTATGTCGTGCGTATATAAGCGGTTATTTTTGCTGCTTTTCCCTCTACTTGATCATGCTATGACTTGTTAATATGACCGATTTCATTCGCGCAAATGCTCGTATTTTACGACCAAAACTGAAACTCTATTTTTTAGCACCTGCTCTATAACAAACATACTTGTAGCGAGGTGAGTCCGGGATTGGTCGACGCACCGAGGGTGGCTGGACGTTACCCGAACTCACCGAGTGAAGCGATGTGGGTTCGGGAAACTTCAAGCCACCCGAGGTGCATCCAATCCCGGACTCACCGAACCTGCGAGAATGTTTGGTTTTTATCACTGCATGCCATTTCGGTAAAAAGTACTGAAGAATTTACGCATTTTAGTATATAATTTCTTGTTTGGATAACGAACATTTTAGCCATTCTTGAAAAGAGAAAATGCACACATTCTGCGAAAACATTGCCAAGATTTATATAAATCTGCCCCGTCAGGGCCTCTTTTAAGGATGTGTAACTGGGGGGAGGGACATTTCCTGGGGGACCTGGAGAAATTACAGTCAGCAAGTCTATCACTGCAGCTACCAGCATATATACACATGCATGGTTTAACTAATAAGTATACGTCATAGGGCAGCGGATCAGGCCCGTAACTAGGATTCTGAGACAACCGAGTCGACCACCAAAGGTGCGAGCCGTCTATAGAGGGGTCTGGGGGCATCCCCCAAAAAAGTTTGGATTTCCTGAAGCTCAGGGGCCGGTTGTAGTTAAATAGTGATTAACTCTCAAACAGACGCTTCTCATTGGATGACATTTCCACTTAACTATGATTAACTTTAATCACTTTTTTATACAACCGGCTCCAGATAAGCTATTTCCGGCATTTTGCGGAGTGTTCCAACAAGAAATTAACCTTATAAACAGTGAAACAATTATGAAAGCACATTGCTTGCCTCTAGATTGAATACAAAAAATAAAAAGTTCATCACCATGATGTATATATTAGCAGAAAGAAATAAAGTTATCTTACCTGAATTCTTACCGCGCCTTACAATTTCCGTCTATTTTCCCGTTTATTACGTTTGCTAATTGGAATTTGCTAATTGGAGTAGACGTTCGCTATCACGTTTGCAAATTTAAATTTTTAGCGCAAGCCTGACATCCAAATATGTGCACGCAAAACAAAATTTTGTTTGACTACGTAGCTTAATTACGACATCTTAACAGACACAAGATTGAGATCTCGACAATACATAGATCGCGCGAAAGACTTGGCCGAGTGAACTCTGGAGAACCCATTGCACGTGAAGAATAGTGTGCTGATCTAGCGAAGCGTGTTGACGATGCCCATGTGTAATTATTTGACTTCCATGGCCTGAACGCGAGGGGTTTGGATAAAACGGAGACAATGCGGATGGCGGGTGCGAAAATGCGGATGCGAGGATAAAACGCGGATGGGAAAATGTGCTTCATTTTATTTCATTTCTTATGACTAGAAATACATGCATGCAGAAACCCCTCGCCTTGCTGGCAAAACCATTATATGTATTTAAACAAAGTATTTAAAGTAGTTGTCATGATAACACGATAATTTTAATAAGAATATTTTTAAGTGAAAAATCCCCTAAAAATATATGTTAGATATGTTATTATACGTTATTATTACGTAATATAAGCTTCAATTTAATGTAAAACTCAACCACAAACGCTTCGCAAAACGTTTTAAAATGTTCTTAAAACTAAACTACCTTTTATCGATAAACTTTGAGTTTGAAATAAAATGATTTCAAATTCTCGCATGAAAATAACCTACTATTTATTTAAAGATAAAAATAACCTCCCCCATCTAAGTCTTTTTTCATTATGTACGATCAGTTTTTAAAGCAATTATAAAAGCAAACAATAGGCCTACATCAATATTTGAAACAAACTTACCTTCATTGGGTTTTACAAAGTCTTTTAAAAAGCAGATATATTAATTTTCAAATAGTGTCTGTTATCATAGATTAAGTATGTACAGATATGTAACTTTAGGAAAAATGTTGCCCCACGATCGCCATCTTCCTAGCAAGTGTCGCTGGCGTGATAATTCGTAATTTGGTAATACGTCTGGCTTTCAAACAGGGGCGTCGGAGCCGCTCTAAAAGTGGGGGAGGGGGGGGCACACTTAGCGCTCGTCGAAGGTGGGTAACATTTAAGCGGGGTCCGGGTCGGTTCGAGTATGCGATATTTCGGAACTGAATCTAGTTCCTTCGCGTAGCTCAGTGGGCAGAGCATTAGGCTAGTATTACAAAGGTCGTAGGTTCGAATCCCACCGTGGCCAGGCATAGTTTTCAAGCCGCCCGGTGTGGATATACACTCAGAGTAACATCACACAAGCATCTTATTCACCTGAGTACATTACACCAACATAGCAAATATCATGATTATTAGATTACACTGATCAATTGATCCTTTTCAATTTGGTGGCATCCCTCGATCATCTGCTACAAAAGCCTTAATTTCTATGGTTCATGCGTGGACTCAAGCCACAGATGGAACTGGAAACGCTGTAAGAGTGGTTCTTTTTGATTATAAAAAGGCCTTCGACTTGATTGATCATAAGATCTTAGCCACGAAAATCATCCAATTGCCAATGCCAAATTTCATTAAGCGGTGGGTAATTGACTTTCTGATGAACAGGCAACAACGGGTGAAACTTGCAAGAGACTGTATGTCTGAATGGATTGACATTCCTTCCGGTGTCCCTCAAGGAACCAAATTGGGACCTTGGTTATTCATCCTAATGATAAATGACCTACGCCCCCCACATCATGAGCGATGGAAATACATCGATGATGCTACGGTATCTGAAATCATTTACATCAACACACCCAGTAAAATTCAAGATACAGTCGATTGTGTTCAAAATTGGTCTGTAGAAAACAAGATGCAATTAAATGCCTCCAAGTGCAAGGAACTTGTTATCAGTTTTACAAAACCTGAGAAAGAATTTCCGCGCCTTAAGATCATCTCAGGCCAAATCGAGACAGTGAACCACGCAAGAATCTTAGGTTTGACAATTTCTAAAGATCTAAAATGGAACCAACACATAACTAACATAGTTAAGAAGGCGAACAAACGGATTTATTTTATTATTCAGTTGAAACGTGCTCATGTACCTGAAGCTGACATAATACATTTTTACACTACCTGCGTCAGACCAGTCATGGAATTCAGCTGTCAAGTTTTCCACTTCGCCCTTCCTTCCTACTTATCTAATGCCCTGGAACGGGTTCAAAAGCGTGTTTTATCAATCATTTATCCACTGACAGGTTATGCGGATTGTTTACAAAAATCGGGCATCAAACCATTAAGTGACAGGCGTGTGGATGCATGCGAGAAACTGTTTAATGAAATCACCACAACACCAGTAGCTAATATGCATAATCATGTACCATCTAGATACTTTCCAAATTACGACCTTAGACACTCAAGGTCTTTTGTTGTTCCTCAGACCAAAACGAACAGATTTAGAAACAGTTTTTCCCTTCATCTGCAAGGCATATCAATAATATTAACTGACAATCGATTCTGATATTCAGTTTTAGACTGGCTAACATTTTTTTAGAAATTTACTAGTTTCATAGTTAATTTGTAATGTAACTTTAAACTTCTGTAATATAGAATTATAAATTGTAATGTAATTTTAAACTTCTGTAAATATAGAATAACTAATTTAATCATTTCTCTTGTAAAATTTAGCACGCAATTCAGCCTCTTGGCTGCTATGTGTTAATCTTATTAAACAAACAATCTATCTATCTATCTATCTATATACATTTTCTCCTTATCGTACTACCGAGTGAACAATAACATAATATATATATATATATATATATATATATATATATATATATATATATATATATATATATATATATATATATATACACTCAGAGTAACATCACACTTGTAAGCATCTTATTCACCTGAGTACATTACACCAACACAGCAAATATCATGATTATTAGATTACACTGATATCGAAGGAACTAGACTCAGTTCCGAAATATCGCATACTCGAACCGATCTGACCGCGTAGCTCAGTTGGCAGAGCATTGGGCTAGTATTCCAAAGGTCGTAGGTTCGAATCCCACCGTGGCCAGGCATATTTTTCAAGCCTGCCCGGTGTGGATATACACTCAGAGTAACATCACACAAGCATGTCTTTTTTATTGTAAAAGTATGTGTAATTTTATATTGTTTAGGTTTAGAAACTATTAAATGTACTTTGACATTCGTCGTTGTTTGTTTCTGGAATGGCGGTTGAAATCGAAGAAAGCGGCTAACAAAACAATAAGCACTTCAGAAAGGTTGTCGCTTTTGCTTTTCGGAAGTTAGAGCATATGTCGGCACTGCCGTTTCAGGGCGGGGTCATTTTCAGGACTTTCGTCCCAGATTCAGGATTTGGCACATATGCCATGTTGACCGCCGTGGTCATTTTACCCTAAAACAGTTGTCTGAGATTACTTGTGCTAAATGAAACACATACAAACTCCTATACAGGTCCTAGACTATGTTTTAAATTGTTAAATCATCACCAATCGTCATCAAGTTACATCAAAATCTTTGGAAATATAATTCGGGATAGTGTCGGGTCCAAGTATACTTTGGAGAATTCCACATCCGGAATTACAGAGTCGGGTAATTTTGATCAAAGTTAGCGTAATAAACGGAAAAATAGACGGAAAATATTACTGCGCACTAAAATACAGGAAGTCCTGAACTAAACTAGTAACATAGTACTTTGCGGTGTTTTACTAATATTTATTATATAAATTGTATAGTGCTTTAAGAGATGTCGAGCACTGATAAAACTGATAATCTCACAAGTGAGATTATTTATGATAATTTCACATGTGAAAATTATCGCTTTTCAATTATCGCTTTTCTGTAAAAATTATCGCTTTTCAAAGACTGTCCTTTATATAATAAACAGAGAAATACATGGATGCTTGGAAATACCAGATTTATTTCTCGTGAGATATCATGTTCAACACTCGAAATAAATCTGGCATTTCCGCGCACCCATGTATTATTCTCTAAAAAAATATAGCCAGCAAATTTGACGAATTATGTATTAAAGGTTTTAAGAAATACGATTAATTCGTTGGCTATATTAGTGTAATTCAATAATATGATTAGATTACAGTCGTAGCGAGATAATTGTGACCTGGGGACATTAGTCACACCCTGCAATATTTATGGCTAACGACAAAGAAACCTGTCAACTGCAACATACATGTTTCGCGCAAAAACAGACAATAGAGAGGTTAAGATACCCCGGTCCCGGTTTACGGGTACGGGTGATATACACGTAAATCGGGGAATAACTTGTAACTTAAGAAATCCAAGATACTCCGGCGTGAGGAAACCGATTAGAGAATGGTAACTTTCGCTGTTCAGGTTCGCCATAAATTGTTGAAAACTTTGACGAGCATGTGTGCATTATTTATTTGGGTAAGATGTTGAAAATTTTTACTATTTAAACGGCCCACAAATAGTAAACAGAGAAAACCGGTACCCGTTTGTCGTTTACGTGTAGACCATGGTTTACCGAGGGAAACGGGTAGAAATTACGGGTAAAAATGCTGACATCAGCAAAATATGGTAAACAAGATGGCGATACTCGTACCCGTAAACCGGAACCGGGGTATCTTAATCTCTCTATTGTCTAATGTGACGGGTTCGTTCTCAGATGCTAGTGACGACAGTATTGATTTATTTAAAATGAAAAACGTCAACATTCAAAACCCAACAGTAACTTTAATACAACTTTTAACACGTTTGGCAGAAACAAGAACAACTTAATGCAGTGATATACAGTATAAAGCGCTCTATCGCATAACGTGTCAGTCAATATAACAGTTAGTAGATACTAACAATTGGTATTAATACAGTACTTACAAAATGTTTAATGCTATAAAATGCAGCAATAAACCAAATGTTAAATCTAATAAGCGGTCTTCCAAATAATTATAGAATTTTCCATCAATTGTTTTTCATATATGGATTATGGAAATATGTTCCAAATATGGAATGCAAGCCGAGGTGAAGTAATATTTCAAATCCGAGTTAGTGTTTTAGACGTGGTTTCTAAATGCAAGTGCCATTGTTCATGACACTGGGGATTTGGAAGCCAAGTTTAAAACACTAACGAGGATTTGAAGTTTCCATGAAGTGTAACGAAGCATTCAGTTCGCTTTCGTCATGAATAGATGCATTTTGTTGGCAAAAGAACATAGCATCTTCTTATAACATAAAATGTTTCGAGAACCAGAAAGTGGTGAGCACAGTACTGCAAATGTAAGGAAAGCCACTATAATAATAATGGAAACTTTATTGAAATTATATACGTATATATACAATTATAAATCTCACTAATTTAGGTAATTTATAATTGACTACTTGAACCTGCTTAATATTTATATATTAATAATGAGTATCCTTAAATGTTCAGTAATTCCGGATTTAACCATTCCTTATCTCTGCAACAAAATATATAATATGTTGTCCTAATCGCGATAGACATAATTTTCCTGATAGCGAAATACTGGTGTCTTTTATCAAGACCTAGATCAGTTAACATATCTAAAAAGGAATGACATTCTTTTGAGAAAACGCCTAAAGAACTAATTGACAAATTTACAAATTTTACGGACTTAAATTGTTTTTTTTGCTGTGTAATGAGATCTTCGTATCTTCTTCTTTTCCGATCAACATTTGTTTGTAGATTAGACTCATAGCCAACAGAAAGTTCAAGGATATAGAGACAATCCGAGTTGATAGATAGAAGTAGGTCTGGGCGGAATGTGTCACCAGTTACAATTGATGGGCTTTTATAACCAGGAAGATCGACGAAAAGATTGGAGTTGTTTACAGGTTGTAGCGTTTGTGCTATGAAGTTCAGAACAGAATCATGTCTCCATGTAAATCGTGGGAGGTA